TATCACTTGTGCTCGTTGGGGTTGGGAAAAACAGTTTCAGATTGGGTCCCAGGTGTTCTTTCTCCGTATTAGAGATACATCCCCATCTATCTACCTGCCTATCTTTATTCACCTTTTTTTTTAAGACTTTAAAAAATGAGGATGAATGGCATAATTCTATATGCGAATGCTATTTTCTAAATTTAGAAGTGGTCCTTCCCCTGTCTACACAGACTTCCGCCTTGCTTTCAGCCCGCCAGTACTTTTTGACTCATATCACTGCTTTTAACTGAGCTGAAGATTAATATATATTTAAACCACTGGTTAAGGTATCTGTAATGCTTCTGCAGTTCATAACAATAAAACGGTCCTTTCCATAAAGTGTACTTTCACCCATTTGAAAATTTAGTAAGCCTGAATTTAATTATTTTTTACAGGCTGAATTTCAAAATGTTACTCCTGACATTTAAGATTCATATAAAACACAAATCTATCTTATCTGCAAAATGCAGAAAGAAGACGGTTATCAATCATGGCTACAAACAGCAACAATGCCCCATACATCAAGTGAGCACTTTTTATCCTTTACATACCAAGGGCATATTTTTCCCCAGCACAGTGGTGCACAAAATAACTGATATCTGGTGGCTAAATGCTGTAACACAAGTAGGCAAGTCATTGCAATACTGGTAACTGATTCTACGGGTGTTTCAAGTTTACTGCTTCTTCATAGAGCTTTTTAGATGTTTTCTTTATTTACTTTGACTCTCTGACTCTTAGGCACCATGATCCCCGGGAATGGTGAAAATTTCTCCTGCCTAATTAAAGTGGGATTGTCATATTCATATCAGGGAAAAAACCCAACTCCAACAAGGAATTAATATAGCAGAGTAAAACAGCACTAAGATTTAGCCAAGCAGCCCCAGTAAAAATCATGCAGACTAATGCTACAAGAAAACCCTGCATAGACCTCTGAAAATGAATTTCTTAAAGTATTTAAAATAATTAATATCAATTCAGTTTTCACTGAATTGTATTTCTTTAATAGAGTTTTAATTTAAAAAAAAATAAAAAGCTATGATTTCTACATTTAACAGCATCCTGGTGACTAGAACTTTTGGGGATGTGAAACAGCCTTTCCACTTCTCATGCCTTATCGAACCTCTGTGATGGTCACATCTAATCCATTCGAGCCTTCTGCACCTAAACCTGCACTCTAGACAGAAAGCAGTTGCCACTACCCGCTAAACTTCTGCAGCATGGAAATAATATTCCCTTTTAGAAAGCAAGAAGCCTCTCTCGGAGAATTAACACACACACATACGGTCAGCTAAAGTTAAAATTACAAAATTGCTAGCACAGCCAGTTCAAGGCCTGTAATACCAATTTCTTCAGTAACAAATGTTTAGGGGAAAAATCTGCAAGTATTATCTAACAGAAAGTAGATGAAATATAAACAGACTCTACATATTTATCAGCAGAGGAAGTTCAAAAATATCCCTGGGAAACAAGGCGGATGGCAGGCTAGCTCCAAAGGCATTGAGCCCTCTTCGAAGGATGTGCTAGGAGGAACTTCATTTTCAGTTTGACATCACACAATAAAATTAATTCCTTCCTCCTATTCAATTGCTGCATGAAGATCCTTGATGCCAACACTAAAAATGTCACTAGAACCTGACATGCTGCACTCTATACAGAAGATCGGCCAAATTTCAACAGTGTTTTAATGCAGGACTTTAAATAAACCCCTCGGGGGTTTCATCACTCCTAAGGCCTAAATATCCTTAACAAGGATGCCCACCTGCATATTCAGCTTCCCTTGGCGTCAAAACGGGCACACAAGTACTCAGAAAAACGGATCTTTGGGGTAACATAACTACTGATGTGTTATTTCAAACAGGAATAGCCTTTCCTTTTCACGTAGGATCATCCACACAGGACAGCTTCTCCCACTTCAGCCTGCCAAAGCAGAATGGAAAGCTGGAGCCGCGTGACTTCAGTCTCAGTAACTCATCATGAAGTTACGTCCTGAGAATTGCTGCTTGGATGGTTTGCACAGCCTTTATAGTACCTAATTTGAAACCCTAAAATTTATTTTTAAATGCAGCTTAATGATATTTGCTGTTTCACAGTTATTTGCAATCTTTAAAGTTATACATAGGAAGTTATTAAAACACCATGACTTAACAATTTTCAGTAATTACATTTGGGAGATTGTTTCAGTAACAGGGAGGTGTTTTCAGTGCACAAACATAAATTGTCTTTCAATTTCACTTTATTTTCTAATACTGAAAAAGCCTTAGAAAATTACACTGGCAATGCACCTAGGAATTAGAGTAGTCCAACAAAAATAATTGTTGATGCTTATACAGTTACTTGTATTTTCAAGTACATTTTCAAGTGCTTTCTTCATTTATTATCCAATGTACTAGTAAAGTAAGATTAAAACCTAGAAGACCAGCTAGATTATTATACCCACTCCATGGGTACCATTAAAAGCATATGCTTATATATCAAAACTCAGCAGAAGCTTTTTATGCATTGCATCGTATCACACCAAAATGAGTTATTGCAACATTGTAACTGTGATCAAATACTGCACAAAATATACACATACACACATAAAAAAGAACACTAAATTTTTAAAGCTATATGCAAAAACAAGCAGCGAATGATTTAAAAACACCTAAGAGGGATATTTCACCCAAACAATTACTGAACTCTGATTTAACCAAATGAAGTAGTAAAGCCTTAAGCTAAAAGTTACTCATTATGAAGATCTAGCCGTGTTACAAATACTGCAGAGTTAGAGTAGGTTGCTGCTTAGGTTTAAATGCCTTTCCACTGCAGCCACACATCTTGTTCACATTCAGTCCACAACACAGCTTAACTCTACCAAAACTACCCCAAAACTGCATTTCGAGCAATAGCTTAATTGGGAGGATATGAAGGAAGCTCCTCCTTTGTATGACAGGTCACTTGAGGTGCCGGACCGAAACTTTGCAAAGAGGTCAAAGTGTCAGAGGAAGAGGCAGTTTTTGCCCATTTTCATCCAGCAAACACTTTCACTGCCCGTGATTCTGAGGAAAGGTGCAAAAGCCAAGTTCTAGTCCCAGTTACATCAGGGAAAACGAAGTCACGAGTTACTCACGATCTACCCTAGCACAAGAGGAGTCCATGTGGGATTTTCAGAGATACCAGTACATATTCCATTTTACTATCCCGTGCATTTTTAATTTTTCTGCTCTGCTTAGCAATGTTCAAAAATCTTCTCTGAAGAGTTAAACTCTAAATATTTAAAACATCCCTTTGTCAGGCAAATCAATCTTTCTTTGCTATAACAAAACAACATCAGCTTGGGATCTCATTGTTCTGTCCTGTTCACCTCGCACATCTCATTTCTTGTTGAAACTGTTTCAAAGCTGATATAAATAGCTTTGTAAAGTAATTCTAATACTAAATGTCAAGATTGGTAGCGGTTTCATTCTGATTTATCCTTATCTGTTCCTCAGGCAAGTTAATCCTCAACCCGAGATATTGTTTTCATAGTTCTATAATTTATTAAATTTTTCATCTCAATTATTTACTTTGTGAATGGCTCCTATGAGTTGCCCATGGCCAAAAGCAGTAATATTCAGTGCTGAAGTGCTCAAGAACGTTTGGTTTTTTTTTTTTTGTCTTTTTAAATGAGAGTATGCCACAGTGCATCTCATATGGTAATTGCTATTGGTAGCCTTTAGTGCACAACAGTTTTTACCCAGTGGCACTTAGTCATTTTAACTGGCCACTGCATTTGCCATAGACAGAAAGTTTTGATCTGGATTTCCCAGTGTTATCCCAGGCTAGGGCTCTAGAGAGCCTGCTCCTCTTTCTCCCTGAAAACCCTAGAAATAGCTTTCAGATTCGTTATCTATTTAACATATATACAGGAAGCACTATCTGTATAATTCAGAAGACAAATTAGCTAAAATCCAAGAGTTTGGAAAGCAATATTAGAAAACCTATTTGATAGCCTTGCAAAAAAATTGTTGCTTCTAAGACCTTTTAAAGGATTTTCAAGGGATGTAGCTTCTCTGCGAAGAGAGGGCCCTGCAGGCAAACACACCTCATTATGTGCTATATTCTCCTAATCATCTATTAAACTATCCTTCTCAGTTTCCTCATATGTCTAGCTTTACATATAATGTACCAGTCAAACAGATTCCTCCTTCTGTGGAGCAATAAATTCTGATATTCAAAGGCCATTATATCCTAGCTTAGGCACAGCAAGGTTAACACAGAGCTCTTACACTTTCCTCAAATGATGTATGAAATCTTCTAGACTCCTGTTTTGGGGTTTTTTTTGCATTACTTTTTCCTGAAGTCTCTTCTATTTGTTGATATTTTACTACTAATTCGGTGCCAGAATTGAAGTACTTTAATTAAGTGCTTTCTCCCACACTGCTCCAACACCTGAATATTAACTGGACGTGTGGAACACATAATGTCCTTACGTTATCACCTTCATCAGAAATCATCCTACATTGCAAACTCGCATCTAATGTACTGTCCCCTTTCCTAGCACTCTTTCAACGCTGCTATCCACCAGGCTTCTTCCTTCCCCCGAGGCGGCAGATAAAAGTCTTTACTATCTATGGATATTATAGAGGTTTGCATTTTTTAAAAGCAGTTCTATCTACTTATTGTCTTACTGTACAATTATGATCCTTGCACAATTTCTTCACTCTTTTTGTTTGCTTTCATAGTCCTTCCTCTTTAAAAGTAATTTGAAGCGCTACGACCACCATTATTTAAAGGAAAGGCCCTTATTCATACTCCACGCTGCCCTGAGCACTTAGCAGGCCTGCCTGTGCACTTAAACTTTGCAGCCTTTGCAGACTTCAATCTCATCAGCTTTTCTAATTTTATGGTATGTTCACCCACTCTGAATACCGTGGTTTCACATAGGATAAGTATCTCTGTGAAATACGTTCCTCCATACCAGAAAGCATGAAGAAAATGAAAAGTGTCACTTTTAATACCTTGCTCTTCAGGTGCAGCTCTGCACCGGGTGGAATCCGCACTTGACAATGCAGAACAGCCTGCTTCACGCGCAGAGTCTGCATAACAAAACACAAGTATTTATAAAATGGCATACATATTTGATGAGGCCAAATGATGGCAAATTAAGTTTTAGAATACAAAGTGTGTATTTAGCAGTGCTCGGTACATAAGAGAAAATTTATAGTCGAGTAACTGCAAATCTCAGAGAGTATTGAATCATTAGATGCCAAGCCTGCTGTCCCTGCTAAGCCAGAGCATGGGCGCGTGGGCATGCTGCCATGCTGCCGTTTAAGGGACGCTGGGAATTACAGTGCAGATGGATAATTTGGGGGTTCACAATTAGGACCAACAACCTAAGCACCACCAGGTCCCGCGTTCCCCATTGCTCTTGGGGTTGGGGTTGAAAAGCCCAAAGCTGCGAAGGGGCTGCCGAGAGGAGCCTCCGCGGGGGCGTTTCAGCCCGGGGAAGGTGCCTCGTCTTTGCCAACTGCAGACACCAGCTGAGACATAAAATCGTTTTACCTTTTCCCTTCCAACTTAGCATGAACTTACGTTGCTCCCGACCTAGAGAGCAGTCTATCGCTGCTCTCCTGTTCATATTCACCGTAACTCCTGGTCTCTCACCACGGACGCAACTGCACTGTCGTTGCCATCGATCACCTCTACCTGACTTGACTTTATTCTTCTTTCTCTGTTTTGTTTTGTTTTTTTCTGGTTTTTCTCTGCTACCAGGCGCGTCACCTGCCCACAGCGCTTCTCTCTTCTGCCCCAGAGCACAGCACCCTCCTTAAAACCGGTGCTCACCAGCCGCTGGAAACCAGCTGTGGCGAAAATTAATATTCCATGGAAAAGCTACATTAACCGTTTGCCCCCCCAAAGTGCTGTTTAGTGGCCCGTCGGGCCCAGTCGTGTAATCAAAGGCTTACAGAGCTGCCATCGCGGAGGTCTCCCGCTCGGGCCAGGGCCCCAGCAAGCAACCGGCGCAGAACCGTAATCGCGTCTTTCAGTCCAGCAGACCCAGCGCGACTGCCCAACACGCTCGCTTCAGACACGCGCGCGGCCTGGCGTATGTTTAAGGGAGAGAATCAACAATGTTGTGCATAACTGGTCGATGTAGGTAAAACTGCCGTACAAAGGGAGAGATTGGTGCAATTCAGGCCGCTCTGAGATAAGGACTTAGAGGAGCTTACAAAGCCCGGGCGCTTGTGTGAATGGCTGAATTGAGACTCCAAATCTGGCGCAGCAGCTCTTCCAGAAGAAAAACAGTGCACTTCACGAAAAAATATAAATAAACAAGAAATACTAATTTGCGGGGGGAAGGCACTGAAAGAAAATGCTGTCTTATTGGAGACGCAGCTTGTTTTTCCACAGCGCTTTGGGCTCCTCCAGCTGAAGAGGCGCAGTTGCGGGCAAGGCATACGGCGGGGACGCGGACTCCTTCGTCGGCCGCGCAAGGTACGGAGGAAAACACGTGGGTTGGGGCAGCGCTGAAGCCTGCAGAGCAGTGACGGAGCCGAGTTTGAACGAGAGCACAGCTCCTGCAGGCTCGTGGAGCCGCCGGCGCCCAAGCAGCTTTCCTCTCCTGAGCACCCAGAGCAGCACCCAGTGATCCCACGACACATTTCCTTGCAGCCTGCGATTTGCAGGACCTGCAGCCTTTAAGGGTATAGTAACCGTAAGGTTAACTAAGGCTCAGGAGGGAGGGGGAGTACGTTGGCACCTATTTTAAGTCATGCTTCTCCTCTGCTGAGTGACGCATCCGTAGCAAAAAAGCATCACAGGTGCATGTCCTGACTTCCTTAATCGATATATCATTTAGGCAAGATCGGGCCACTGCTGCTAGCTTATCTCTAGAGGAAGCGTCCCTGAACAACTTCAGAAACACAGAATGTAATCGTAGCGCTGTTGCTGCGAACCCGTGGGGAAGCGTGCAGCAACGGGTGGGTTTTCAACAGCGAGGAAGCCTCTATCCACCCCCCGCCCTGGTCAGCACAGAAGTTTTGATAAGAAATTCTTATCTAGGGCTGGGGGCTGCAGCATCATATTCAGTCATACCCCGTGAATTTTGGAAGAGTTTGCTGTTATCCACTTAGCAAAGTGATCTTAAATATAAATAAACACTTAGCTATCTTAGTACTGGAACACTGTCCGTCTTCAAGAAACACATGCAGGGAGCACTGAAATCACGGATGCTACAGATATAACCTTTACCCACTGAAACTCCTGGTTCTTGTAGCGTTCCTGCTGCTGGTTGCCTATTAGCCTCAGAGAAAAAAGGAAAAAAGTCATCCTCGGTGATGCTTCTGAAAGTTTCAGGAGTGTCATGAGGTGCTTCCAGGGGCTGAGAGGACTTGAGCTCGGGGGACAGGTAAGGACTTGTCAGGCAGTACTGAAACTGTTCACAAAAAGCTGATGCCTTTCGCATGTACGTGTACTTCATTTGTCCAGAGGGCTTGTGATCTTCTAGCTACTTTCAAGATTTTATCCATCATCAAAAATGCCCTCACACATTTTAGGTTTTTTAATTTTACAGTTACCAGCCTTTTTCTAACAAATAAATCACTACCAGTGAGTAACTGTCTAGGAGTATTTGAAGAAGAAGGAGAAAAAAAAAAAAGCAGAGTTGAAAAAAAAATCAGTCCAAAGTTATGCTACTTCTAGATAGAAGGGCACAATGGCTGTGTTGCTTAAAATAACATTAAGAGATAAACAGTATCCTTTTGTATCACTTTGATTATGCCTATAAAAGCCAGTCCTTGCTAATGCTGTTAGTGGATTATATAACTTCATCCTCCCACTTTAGCCACATGAAATAATTGAAATATGAGAGTCTGCTTTACCTTTCTCATTTATATACACATTATATATATCTCATCTATATAGTTTCCAGATATTCCAGATTTCGTTTAGCAAGGAAGATAAACTCCATTAGTGTCTTTCATTGCATTAGCAGAATTAAATGTTTTGTCATGTAAATCTACACTGTTTAGACATGTTCCTGCTACAAACCCTCAAATAAAGCACTCTGAGATTACTCTTCCTACTACAGTTTCTGAACCATAAAATTATTTTGTTGTTAATTTCAGAACTGCATGTTGACTGCACTTACAAACACAGGATTTAAGTGGCATTAAAAAAAGAAAAACTGATTTCACTACTAAATCTTCATACAAGTAGTTGCTTCTTTTCTGCATCCAAATTGATTTTCTTTCTTTTGGCATGCAAAGAGCCAGATGAATACTTTGACTCAATGCCCAAGAGTGAGAAATGGCACCAGCAGCAGAGAAGCTCTTAGGGCAAGAGACATGTGACAACATTTCAATCACTGGCAAAAAAAAAGGGAGGGGAGAGAGGTTCAAGGAAACGATTCCATAGTATTTACTGTACATACACACACACATATTTTATATATAGAATATATGTGTGTATGTATGTGAGGTCATAACGTTTATATATATGTATTTATTATATACACAAACACTTTACACACACACACACACACACACACACACACATTATATATATAAATGCTGTGGCCTTATATTTACAGAAATTTCCCTTTTGAGAGAGATCTGGTAGTCCATAGTTAGTATCAAGTGAAGTGCAGTTCAGTTAGACATTTATTTACGCCAATGAGAGCATTATTTTCAGTCAAGCCTTGAAAATATTTACTCTTGATGAACGGTTCCAGTGAACTTTGAATTTCCACCTATAACTTTCTCAGCTGAATACTCTGCTTTTTTGATGTCAAGCTACAAGAAGCACATGGTTGTTGTTCTATGGGAGATGATAACGATTTTTTCTAGCTAACAATTCGAGAAGTGAAACCATTCTTACGTTGCATGCAATCAGATCAAATCAATATGAAGACATCTTTAGCCCAAAGAGCACAGACTAAAAAAAGTGTAATTACATTGCCATCCCTGAAAGTTTGCTACATCCTTAGATACTACTCTCCTAGAAATACTATCATCTATCCTATTAACCTACAGATCCAGCTGCGACCAAGAAACCCAGTTCACTACCGAGTCGGGCTGTAGTATTACAGTGAAGCAGCACGAAAAAAGAAAAAAAAGGAAAGACACCACCAAAGTTCAGCTGCTGAATTGTTGCCTAAGCTACTCTAACCATAATAACCCCTCGCTGAACCTTGACTGCATTCTCAGCAAACGCACGCCAGGAGGCTATTTTTAACAGCCTACAGCTTGCATCTAAGAAACCCCCTCTAAAAATACGCCTCAGTGAATGGCAACCTCCGCGCACGGTTTACACGCTGTCGGAACGAAACCAAAGTTCAGCTGCTGAATTGTTGCCTAAGCTACTCTAACCATAATAACCCCTCGCTGAACCTTGACTGCATTCTCAGCAAACGCACGCCAGGAGGCTATTTTTAACAGCCTACAGCTTGCATCTAAGAAACCCCCTCTAAAAATACGCCTCAGTGAATGGCAACCTCCGCGCACGGTTTACACGCTGTCGGAACGAAACGCATCCTTCAGACAAAGCTGCTTCGCGAGTGCCCCGGCGGGCCGGGCTCCGCGGGCTCTGCCCCGAGCGGCCCGGCGGCACCGCGCCGCCCCCGCCC